GGTTAACATTTATTCAAAGAGATGGTGGTTTTCCCGTACTTGAAAGCTTCAATTGACTTCACAACACAATTCGTAAAGGTCATTACATTTGCTACAGAAATAGATATCCTCCCTAGTTCTGGCATGTGCAAAGATTGTATCATGTGTGACCATTTTACTTTATTCTTAAACAATTGCAGAACATTTAATTTGATACATGTAATTCTGATTAGAAAGAGTAAAAAAATGAAGTTCGCTATTTATTTAGCTGCTTTAATGATATTGTAACATTATAGATTTTTTGGGAGTTTGGGCTAGAATTGGGTTACTCAAACCTTTGAGGGTGGGTGATACTGTCTAAATATGGGTTGAGACTCTGGCTAATAGGTAGGTTTTCCGACCAATGCTCAAGCTAGCTTAGTATCTCTCATACTTGAATTTTAGGGATAAATGCTAATTTTTATTATAGGAAAAGAAAATCTTTTGGATGAATATTCATAGAGCAATCTCGCCAAAATTAGGGTTACTCTTTAGGTGTTGTACCTTCTTTGACACTAGACACGTCTTCAAGAGGAGTGTAGCTTAATGATCCATTTAACATTTATAATATGTATTGCATTTGTATCTTTGTGATTGATATACTCATAAAATGAAATGATTATGAATATGATAAAGTATTACTACGATAATGATAATAATTGTTTTTATAAACTATCAAACAAGATAAAACACATAACCATCCAACAACTTTGTTTTTATGAAACAAACACTTGTTACATATCTCTTATTGACAAAGTTTTCAATGTGTTACATATAATCCAAAAAGGGTCATGTGTAGTCTTACAATGTGTAGCCATATTAATTGAGATTTTGATATATTTACCACTTTTGAGTTATTTACAATGCATGAGTATTTGGTACAATGCATGAGTATTTGGTTGATTGAGGTTAATTATTAATTATTACTAACTTATTTGTTATTTGTATCGCCAGGTTAGAGATCAACATTAAAGACAGAGAATATGTCATCATCTGGGTCTTGTCAACAATCTACTTCTATAGGTGTTTCACAATCTTTTCGAGGAAGAAATGATATAGCATGGGGACATGTTAATGAGAGTGTGGATGAAAATTGGAAGAAGATATTAACATGTCTTTACTGTGGCAAGATAATCAAAGGTGGAGGAATTTGTCGAGTGAAATTGCATCTAGCGGGTATAAAGGGAGAAGTTGGAAAGTGCTCTAAAGCTCCTTTCGATGTTAAATTCAAGATTGAAGAAGCACTAAATGAAATTGGGGCCAAGAATAAACAAAAAGTTGAACTTCGTAAGAATGTCAATCCTTATGGAGCTAGTGTACAATAATTTGAAGGTGATATGTTAGATGAAGATAAAGAGTGTGAAGAGGTTTCTCCATGTCCAGCTCCAACTTCAACTTCAAGCACTAAGAGAAAAACATCTATTGGGATAGGTGACTATTTTGCTCTGAGGACTAAGTCTGGGTCTCAGCCTCAATTAAGAGTGTTTTAGCCGGAAAAGAAGCTAAGTGGAGAGCGGACATGGCTGTTGCAAGGTTATTTTATGATTCTTGCATCTCAACTAATGTTATTAATTCAATTTATTTTCAATCTATGGTGGATGATATAACTGCAATTGGTTCTGGGTATAAAATCCTAACTTATCATAATTTGCGTGTAAATATATTGAGAGATGCTAGGAAAGAAGTGCAATTACTAGTTGATGGTTACAAGAAAACTTGGGAGGATGTTGGATGTACTTTAATGTAGAGCTGGGTAGGGACCGGTCCCTTGCGGGCCCAGGCCTAGGCCCATTTGAGACTGGTCCCAAATGGGACCAGTCACTCATGGGCCTGGGACCGGGCCCATGAGAAAAACCAGGACCCAGACCAGGTGCTAGGCCTGGTCGGGACTGGTCCTATGGGCCACCGGTCTTGTGGGTTTGGATAATTTTTCCCCCCTGATATTTTTTTATATTTTAGAGGCGAAATGAAGTTTTATAGGGGGTTTTTAGTCTTTTAGGGGTTGATTAGTAAGTTTCTAAAAATTTAATTAATTTTAAAAAATAATAAATTAATAGTTAATTTTAATTTTTAATATAAATGTAATATTCACATTTCACACATTCACGCTTCACAAATAAACAATTAAATAATTTTTTTATTAAATTATTCATCTTCAATTTCATCGTCAACACTAGTTACATTATTCAAATCTGTATTCCTAAAGAGTTCGAGTAGTTCGGGATCTTCAGGGTGCTATTGTAGTCTTCTTTCTGTATGAGTCCAATCTTGTAAACACGTTATCACTTCAATCATCTCATCGGTTAAAGAACATCTTCTGTCTTTAACAATCCGATCACTCGTTGAAAATGTTGACTCGGATGCAATTGTAGAAACCGGCACAGATAAAATGTCACGTGCCATTTGGGATATAATGGGGAATTGACTTTCTTGTTGGTTCCACCATTGAAGAATATCCATGTCAAGTTGCTCCTTCATCGTCATAAAGGTCAAGTCCACCTGTAGGTAGCGAGTCATCTCATTTGGTCTATGTATGTACGAGCTGGAGCTAGAGCTGGAGCTTCCGCCACGTCCCACATACGCCCACTTGCTCGACCATTGAGGGGGGGCTACATCAAGGTCCTGATCGCCTCTCCTAGACGTTCCACTTCCACTTCCACTTCTACTTCCATTGTATCTGTTCTCATATAAAGAAAAAAGCCTATCCAATTTGTGTTTAAAGTCAGTCAAATAAGACGTATAATCATGTCCTAAATAATGGCCTAACTCAGTAATTACACCGTTAACTACGGATAATTTAAACCTAGGATCTAGAAAAAGGCCTAATCCATATAAGAATGGAATATCTAACCAATATCTCTTATATTTTTCTTCCATACTTGAAACAATTTCACTAAAAATGTTATCATATCTATATTGATCAAAAGTTTTAGCAATTTGAACTAAAATATCTAACACTAAATTAGTAGTTGGATAATAAATACCACTTAATGTATTAGTAGCATCATAAAAAATTTTAAGAAATGAATAAAAAAGTTCACAAACCGCCCAATCATCATAGTTGACAACTTCCTCTGGATAGTTCTTCCGGTTGACGAAATCTGTAATTTGTTTCACGCTCGGCAAAGCTTTTTCCAACATCAAGTAGGTAGAGTTCCAACGGATAGGCATGTCTGTACATAACTTCAAAGGTCGAACCGGTGGCTCCTCTTGCTTACAATATTTGACATACTCCTGCCATCTTTTATTGCTACCGCCGACGATAAATCCGATAGCTCTACGCACCCTCTCCATCTTTGAATGTATAGCATCTAAACCTGCTTTAACTATCAAATTGATGATGTGACAAGCACATCTCTGGTGATAAAATTTGCCTTCACCAAGCGGATCCAATTTCTTTTCAAATAAAGATATTGTCGCGGTGTTAGCAGCTGCATTATCAAGCGTTAGCGCTACAACTCTATCAGTTAATAAATATTCTTGCAAAACTTCAAGAATTGTAAAATAAATAGTTTCAGCACTATGTTTTTCATACAATGGTTTAAAACTTATCAATTTTTGTTGTAAACCCCAATTATGATCTAAGAAATGTACTGTAACAGTTAAAAAATCGGTTTTTGATCTACAAGCCCATATGTCTGATGTAAGTGCAATAGATATATTCCTAAAATTTTGAAATTCGTTTTTAAGTTTATTATTTATTTTGTTATAAAGTTTTAGTATATCTCTTCTACTTGTAGTTCTACTAACAGGGGTATATGCTGGACAAAATGCAGTTTTAACCATATTAACAAAAAAAGGATTTTCAGATAAACAAATGGGAGAGTCCGTAGCAACTATATATCTTGCTATTTCCTCTCGTGCAACATGTGTATTGTATTGCCATGTTGAGAGAGTTGAGGATTGTGGATTAAAATTAAGTTGAGTTTGAATTTGTCTACCTGATCCGCTTGAAGATGCATTTATTTGGGGATGCTTCTTCTCTACGTGTCGTCGCATCGTCGAAGTCCCCTTCTCAGCCCCAATAATGGTTCCACATAAATTACATATCCCACACGATTCTTCCCCCTCCCCATTTGTCTTTGGCCGTTTTGATTTGGTGAAGTATCGCCAGACATCGGACACGACCCTCTTTGACGGTCGGGGGGGTTGGGCTATGTCCGTGCCCGTTGACTCGCAGCTCACATGTGTTTGGCTACACCTCGTCCCGACCGAATGTGGTTGTGGAATTACAGCTGCATCCTCTGGAGGAAATGGTGAAAATGGATTGAAGGCTTCAATTTCTTCGGTGGATGGAACGTAAAACTCATTTGGGGAAGACATTATAAATTTATGATAAAATAATAAATAATTAAAATGAAAAGAAATTAAATAATAATATGAAATTATGATGATATTGAAAAATAGAAAAAAATTTGAATAATATAAATAAATAATATGAATAAATTATAAATATAAATTGAATGAGAAATTGATTGGAGATTTGGAGTAGAGAGATTGAGAGAATGAAAGAATGAGAGATTGATTGGTGTGAAAAAAATGAAAGATTTTAGGGTTATTTATAGTGTAGTTGTGGGGGGGAAAATGAAAAAAAAACTTTTAATTAATAATATAATTATAACCGTTGGCTGCTCTGCTGTGACCGTTGGCAGCCAACGGTTATAAAAAGTTAAAAAAAAAAAAATATATATATATATATTTATTTAATAAATTTTGTGAAATTTTATTTTAGCCATTATAATTTATATTTATTTAAAATTAATAAGGGGTTTAATGTAATTTTACAGGGGACTAAAAGGATAAAATACAAAAAAAATTAGGCCTAGGCTCGGGCCTTGGAGGAGGGCCCGGGCCCTCCTCCTTAGGCCTGGTCCCGTTTTGGGACCAAGCCTCCTAGGACCGGTCCTCTCAAGGACTAGTCCTAGGATCGGGTTTTGATGCTGGGCTTTTGGGCCCGGTCCCAAATGCCCAGCTCTACTTTAATGGCTGATGGTTGGACAGATAATTCACATAGGTTGCTGATTAATTTTCTAATGTACTGTCCTAAAAGAGTGTGTTTTGTGAAATCAGTGGATGCTTCAGATCTTGTAAAGGATGATGCAACATTGTTCAGCTTGTTTGAGGAAATGGCTTTATGGGTTAGACCAAACAATATTATCCATCTTGTCACTGACAATGGAGCAAATTATAAAGTTGTTGGAAGAATGTTGTCTGAAAAACATAGCAGTATTACTTGGTCTCCTTGTGCAGCACATTGCATTAATTTGATGTTGAAAGACATAGCTGAGATGAGTCATATAGTCAACCTTTCGACACGTGCATCTGGGGTTACAAAGTTTGTGTATAATCGTTCCTTTGTGCTAGCTTTGCTAAGGAAAAAAACAGGTTATATACCTTTACCTCATATGTTTATAATTTACATTGTCAAGACATAATATATATGTGTACTTTTTATTAATTTACTAAGTACTAACATCTATTGTCTATCACTTGAATAGGGTTGGACAAAAATTATATGCCCAGGTGCAACCCATTTTGCCACAACTTTCATTGCATTGAGCAGCCTACATCAGCACAAACATGACTTGCAATCTACAGTGACAGATAGAACTTTTGTGGAGTCTCAATATGCAAAAACTAATAAAGGCAAAGCCTTTATTTCCATAATTCTAGAGAACAGGTTCTGGGATGACATTGGTATAATTTCCAAAGTTGTGAGTCCATTGATGCGTATGCTCCGGATTGTAGACTCAGATGAGAGGCCTTCAATAGGACATGTGTATGATGACATGTACAGAACGAGGATGGGAATCAATAAGTAGTTTAAGAACAAGAAAAATGTGTATAAGCCTTATACAACAATTATTAAGATGCGCTAGGATAGGATGTTGCGTCGTGATATTCATGCAACAGCATATTATTCGAATCCTGCATTTAAATATGACGAAGATACTTTTTCCAAAAAACCTGAGGTCATGTATGGTTTCCTTGACACTATTGACAGTAAAGCAACTGCATTCAAAATGAGCAAGACAACGTTACTGGAGGAGAGTAGATTATATCGAGACCGTCTAGAAAGCTTTTCCCGTGAGTTTGCTCTTCAAACTTGCAAAACTACATGGCCAGGTATGTAATAGTTATTAACTTTTTAAGTCTAATTTTTAAGTTATGAAATTGTGTTTATTTCTTATGTAATTTATGCTTTTATTCTCAATTAGATGAATGGTGGAGGACATTTGGGTTTAGTGCTCCAAATTTACAAAAGTTTGCAATCAAAATTCTAAGTCAAACTTCGGCCTCTTCTAGATATGAGCGAAATTGGAGTGTTTTTTAACACATACATACTAAAAAGAGGAATAGATTGGAGCATCCACGGTTGAATGATTTGGTTTTCACTCATTATAACTTGCGTTTGCAAAATAGGTATAAAGCCTTCTTCATTTTGTTATTTTCATTGATGTCTTTATTGGTCATGATTTGAATATTTAATTCTGCTATTACATGAGTTGTTACAAGAAAATTACATATGATCCTATTGATTATGAAAGTATTGATAAAACTTAATGGTGGATAGTTGATGAGGAAGAAAAGGTTGGTGAGCTTAATTATGATGAATTGCAACAATCATTATATGGAGAAGGAGCTATTCCTATATATGGTGGTGATCACCCTTCTTATTATGACTCAACGGATGCTTTAGAAGGTTGTTTACAATTTTTTAAGCAATTTCAATTTGGTAGTAGCTAGTTTATACTTTATATTCAATTAGTTTAAATGGGAAGATTTAACTTATGGTTTTCCTTTTTTGCTAGAATTTTTTGTAGATGATATCGCCGATGTTAATAATGATGACAATCATCTGTCAGGTGGTGTNCTTATTATGACTCAACAGATGCTTCAGAAGGTTGTTTCCAATTTTTTAAGCAATTTCAATTTGGTAATAGCTAGTTTATATTCAATTAGTTTAAATGGGAAGATTTAACTTATGATTTTCCTTTTTTGCTAGAATTTTTTGTAGATGATATTGTCAATATTAATAATGATGACGATCATTTGTCCAATGGTATGTGAACTGTGAATTTTAATTAAGGATGGAATGATGGATTGAAGACCATTGGGTGAAGATCATTTTTTGCTAGAATGTTGAACAACTATTATGTGATTCCTTCCTTCATTTTGTTATTTTGATTTGTAATTTGTTGTATTATTAATGTAATGATGTTTGATGATGCTTTGCTAAGGACTTTTTATTCAGGAGTTTATGATTTGGATCCTGATTTGAGAATTCTAGAATTTTGCATGCTATGAACAGTAACTTTGTTGACATCAGCAAGATGACATCACCAATTGAACCAACTGGTTCAATCAGTTAAACCGGTCGACCCAAGACCCAACCAACTTGTTGGGTTTTGTCCCAAGTCGATTTTTAAAACATTGGTAACACTGATCCAAATCCGGGTGAAACTGATCCTTCAGTTTCTTGCCTAGCCTAGCCCGGCTCAATGACCAGTTCCCAATCAGATTTGTTAAACCAACCGGGTCAAGTCAAGTTTTAAAACCTTGGTTTTGACACCCAATTTGACCAACTGGTCAAACCGATTACATTGTTTTAAAACCCGGACCAAAGGCCAACCCGTTTTGCTGCCTGGGCCACAGGTCAACCGGTCCAACCAGTTGGACCGATGATGTTAGCGACAATTTTATTTTAAAAAAATACATATTAATCCCTTAAATTTTAATATATTACAAAAATTTCCCTAAAAAGTTCAAATTAGTCCTTAAAATTTTTATTTATTTCAAAAATACCCCAAAAAATAACCAATTAATCCCTAAACTTTTGATATATCTCCAAAACACCCTTATAAAATTACAATTAACCCTTATAATTTTAAAATATTACAAAAACTCCCCTAAGACCTAAACCGAACTGAATAAGTTGCCAAGTCCCGATCCGATCGGTTTTTAAAACAGAGACCAATTAAACTGATCAACTGGGACTCGATAACTTTATTGAGTTTCACCCTAGATTGGTTATTGAAACATTGAATTTGAAGCTTTACAATTGGTTAGACAAATCAAAGTCTTGTTTGCAAACAGAGATCACTCGCTTTAGCCCACATCAGCAAACTAGCAAATAGCAATACGATTAAATGATTGGAATCTACGAGAAGGTCAAGAGACTCAAGAAAGTCCTGCATCAGTTGATTACAACCTCCATAATCTTTTGTTGAAAGCTTAATAAACTGAGAAGCTTTTTAGCGAAAAACAGTAATCTATAAACTGCCTATAAAACGTTGGAGAGGAAGATTAGGAGAAAAGAAGAAAGAAATCCGAGGCAAAACCACAGGACAGTTGATTGCACCACTAATTACTTCAATGAAACAGTCATCCAATCCCATGCACTTATTATAGGAAAGAAACAGAAGTACCAATTGAAATAAACTTACTAGAACAACAAAATGTTTTTTATACATTACTTAACATCGTAGGGCTACTGTGGATACAACTTTGCCAACCATAATGTTCTCATCTCCATACAATTTCATCGTCACAATTCTTCCATATCGGTAATGTCAGTAAATTCTTCAATTGATCTCAGCTTTTCAAGAATTATCCTTTCTTGCTTGGCATCTATGGTATTTTGAGTCAAGTATTCAAGAATCATTTATGTAACAGGAAGAGAGATTTAATTATGCACACTTCAAAGTATTATACGAAGCAGAAATGAAATATTGAGTCAAATGGGAACAAAAACATTTGGTTCAGTAACAATACTTAAACAATGTATCATCGATACAACCTACGAGGATCAGTAACTAGTTCTGGGGCATGAATCTAATGAAGCAGAGTTTTGAACAAACAATCGCGTGCCATTAAAAAGATACAAGTCACTGGTATTAAGCTGGTCTTATTCAACAGATATGAACTAACTTCATGCTAAATCGCATTGGGTACACCCCAACCAAACATATGTTGTCTTACAACGTATGAACAACATTATTGTGCAATATGCAGACATTCAGATGTGAAAAATAATAGGAAGGATGAACTTGGATCCTATCCTAACTTGGGTTCTTTGATGTTTTGAGCTCCGGGGCACATAATTAATATTTATCAGTGTGTAGCCCTATGTGTCCCCTTATAATATTAAGTTTTTATTAACTACCTAGATAAGTTTAATCTATACTGGAGTAAAATATAAGAAGATGATAAAATCTATCCAACAAGGATACATTCCTGATCGGGGTTTTCTGTGAAATTAGAGTGTAAGGCGTTCCCTACACTGTCCACAATAGCTGAGGTAGTCATCGAAGATTCAATGCATAAAATTGCAGTTATGGCATCTAATTGAGTAACCTCATTTCTGAACATAAGCCTTGCATGAGCTGCAACATTGAGAGAATAACAATTCCAATTGGAAGAAATGGAGTCCACAATAGATGAAGGAGCAAAACAGAGGGTAACATACCTTGGGCCAGGCGTATCAAACTTTCCAGCATTCGCACAGTTGTCCTAGCTGTATTGTTGGAAATATGATCAAAGAAAATACAAAAATGATATATTGATAATTGTGTCATTTAGCGAAAGGGATTTACTGAAGAACCTGCATTTTGAGTTGCAGATCTTCTTTGAAGTTGGTAATAGCTTGAAATAACTTTTTCAGCTTCCTTCATAAGGATTGGTTTGAAGTATCCTTTTACGAAGTGAATGTACCTGCAAAAAATTGCAGAGGCTTAAGATGCTAGCCATCTCTGAAAGAGTTATTACAGCTTCAAAGTAATCACATGTTCAAGGATGACATCTATAAGCCAAGCGGCAGAAAACAAAGTTTACAAATTTACACATTATTAATAATCAAATATGCACCTATCCTACCTTAGCCAAAATAAGAAAATAACCTTAGATTAATCCCAAAACAGTGAACCAATTCACTGAAAAACAAAAAGGATTGACACAAGGGTAAAGAAAAAGAGAGGAAAAGATTGATCAGAATATGCACATCTAACATAAATAGGAATTATGAAAGATAAACAATGATAGACAGGGGAAAAAAAAAAAAAAAAACTCTCCACATATCTGACTAAAAGATAAAGAGATAACAAAGAAAAGTTGTTATGTTCACAATTTAACATTGGTTGTCAATAAATTTCAACAGGAGAAAAGATAAGAAATTATCAAAGAGATAATGTGCCACAATTTATTATAGAAGACAGGAAAGTTGATAAGAGTTCATGAATTTTTCCTTTTTCCATCAAATGAGTTCAATTAAAGATTATATTTCACGAACTTCTATCAACTCTTGTCTTTAAGAGCGGACTCATGCATGAATGAGTTTAGGAGAAGTGTTAAGGTAAAAAAATATAATCGGCCACGGGAGAAGACTATATATAAATAATATAATGCCCTCTAGATTGATAGGTGCTACAACAGTTTCAGGTGCAAAAATAGTACAATGCTTAACATATATACACCGTGATACTCCAAACACATTATACAGCATATGTACATTATAGTCTCCCCATATCTATACCACTAAAATCTGAGTGCAAAGCACCATTTTTGCTGTCATATTCCAGTCATTAGCCACAGAAATTGAAAAACACCAAATGATATAAGTGAAATTAGTGAAAATGTAGTTTCATATATTTTAAAAGGTCTGATACTTAAGAGACCTCATGGATCTGCTCAGATTGGACAATAAATTACATGTCATTCTCTGTTAAAGGAATGACTTACCTGCGCAGCATTGAAAGTGGCCAGATATTTTCTATATTTTCATCATGATTTCCTTTACCTGGTTCTCCCTGCAATCAGTCACAAGCCAACCAATAATTGGATTTACTCTTCAGGTTAAACATACATAATATTAGGTGAATATTACCTCGGCAAGAATGTGAGATGATACAACTGCATCCCACTCAGGATTCTTCGTGTCAAGAAGGACAAGGACTATGTCAAATCTGCTCAATAAGGGACCAGAGAGTGTTGTATTGACAGAGAGCGCTAGACTGGGTTAAGAATGTTACAATCCATTAACATGTAAGAAATAAGTCAGATCTGCTCAATAATGGAACAAAGTACTGTATTCACAAAGAGAGTTAGACTCGGTTAAAAAGGCTACAATACAAATTATGTAAGAAATAAGTTAGCTGAAGGCTCATACAAGACTAAAACCTTGTAGTCCTCAAAAGTATTATGAGAAAGATAACAGGCACAACCAACAAATTATAATTTGAACCATTATGTCAAATATTCAGAATGAAATGGATACGTTGATCAGGATCATAATGCCCTTTAGGATTTGTTGCACCGAAGACAATGGTCCTAGTACTTAGAGTGGTCACAAGGCCAGCCTGGAAAACAGAAACACACAAATATTCAGTGGCCATGCTTAAACTTGGAGCCAAATTGATCATGATATAAACAAATTAATTTTATTCTCAAAGAATCTTAAATAAAGTGGAAAAAGTAATAAAACACATAAGATAAACAGTGAACTTTTGTCCAAGCTAATTAGGCAGAGAAATATTATAGATTATAATACATTGAAACATAACAAATACGCCAAAAAACAACACAATTATATTTTAATATAGAGGAGACTTGATTGGTGTGAAAAAAATTAAAGGTTTTAGGGTTATTTATAGTGTAGTTGTGGGGGGGAAAATGAAAAAAAAAAACTTATAATTATATAAAATAACCGTTGGGTGTCAATTGACCGTTGGTTGCCAATGGTTAAATTTTTTCTTTTTTTTAATAAATTTTGTAAAATTTTGTTTTAATCCTTATAATTTATACTTATTTTAGGGGGTTTAAATAATTTTACAAAGGACTAAAATAATAAAAGGTAAAAAACATTTGGGCCCAGTGGAGGGCCCGGCCCTTCTCCTAAGACCAGGCCTCCTAGGACCGGTTTTTGGAGCTAGGCTTTTGGCCCAGTCCCAAATGGCCAGCTCTAAGTGAAACACATCTTTTTTTTTTTTTTCTGATTCATTAATGGGACAAAAATTTTGTTTTAGTATTAACAATTTTGACAAATTCTGAAGGATTCTCATGTCCTGCATTGTCTAAGTAAATAGTAATGGTGCTCAGATCTTGTCTGCTAGATTAAACTAGATGCGTTATAGAGGATCGTCTTGCAGCGATCTTTTGTTCCAGTAACTCACAAAGCCGTCTGCGGAGATTGTGATTGTACATTCCCTTGCAGGGAAGACCAGACTGAATGTTAATGTTGGTCTCTTGATATTATTGTAAGGGTCAAATTGATATTTATTGAAACCTCGATGAAAGGTTGAAAATGAGTTAATTGTCATCCTTGAGGTTTGGTGCAAAAATATTTTTCCCCTCTAATTATGGGAAAGTAATTGGGCTAATTCATACACCATATGCCATGGTGGAGCTAGATGAGCATGAAAATGTATAAGTCATTATAATATAGAAAAAAGTAAACGACATATTGCCACCCAAGGTTTGACGAAATCCCAAGTGAGTACCATAGATTCCATTTATTCCAGATTCTCACCCTTAAGGTGACGGAAAAACGTTTGATATAACGGTAAAGGGGTAAATTGGTCATTTTACATGGGCGGCGCACGTTAACAGACCACTGCCTGTAACAGTCCTCCGACGCACATTAGCAGACCAACGCCGATAAACGTTTTTCACTCTTTTTCCGGCGATTTTTCCACCTAAAATCATTTGTCCACACCATTTGACTCCTCGAATCCTCTCCTACAAAACCCCTAACCTTTTTAGCCATGGTAGCTCACCGTTTGCCGTCCACCACTTCATCGAAAAACGGTCGAAGAACACAAACTCTCGGTCAACGAATGACGACAAAACGATTGCTGGGGACATGGGGATTTTATAGATCTGGATACGATGGTTTCATTGGTGGTGTCCAATTGGATTTCACCGTCGAAATCGACCGGAATCCTGTGAAGAACACTGAAACCCTAAGCCTAACGGTGCTGGCGATTGGAGGGGTAAATGAGTTGGGAACCAGAGGGGTTTTGGACGACAGAGTCCGGGGAAGGTGATGGAGTGACCAGGGCGTTTGATGTCGTCGGAAACAGCCCAGATCGGGCTGTTTCTGATGAGGGTGTGTAGTGATCGAGGGTATTTTTGATATAATTTGAAAATAAAATGATAAGTTATAATTCTAATAAATTAGGGGTTAAAACATAATTTATTAATTTAGGGTTAGGGGTATTATGGTAATTGTACACTCTAAACCCTAAAAGTTCATAACACTGTTACTTTAAGGGTTTTGGAATAAATGGAACCTGTGGTACTCATCTAGGATTTTGTCAAACCTTATGTGGGAATATGTCGTTTACTCTATAGAAAATCATATAAGACTATGTTTAAATGCTGTTAAATTTATTTATTAGACTGAAATAATATTTTATATATAAGAATCCAATCGTGAATAATCATAACCTAATTATAATTATATCATGTAGTACTCACTAAACATTTAATTCTTCGACATCAACCTCGTGATTAACAACTCCACTCCAACACACACCACAACCAAATCCCCTCGACAACAACCACTACAATGCAATTGTCTTTGACACAGCGAATAGGGTGTATCTGTAATATTTTCAAAACTGTAAAAGTAAGAGTTTATATAGCAAATATCAGTGATTCATCAGATATTTATCCCAAAAAAAAATCCTACGACCCAACCGGAGTGTCGTACATGATAATTCAAAACAAACGACTTCTTGTTTGTATCACGTACTTCAGAACGGCATCTCGTACGTCATGCCTAAAACCAAAATCGTCATTGGTTCATAGCCGATGTCAATGGCCAAACTCAGCCACCCACCACCACCAGACCTTAAAAATCAGAACTTCTTCTACAAAGCACACAGTATTCTCTGAGTTTCAATCAGAAAANAAAAAAAAAAAAAAAATTCATATCGAGTATTTATAAATAAGAAAAAAAAAGATTTCATGAATCGGATATTAACAATTTTTTTTTTTTTTTTGACTCGATGATTTCATTGGTATTGGTAAAAATAAATTATCAAATAATATAATGTTTTTAAAATATGAAATACGGTATATATATAAAGTTGAATACCCATGCAAGTTGTTTGCCATGTGACATATTTTGGAACTTGTAGAATTGTTCTATTTTGACACATAGGATTTGTGGTTGTTATGTGATTGAATTTTATTGGTGATGTTGTAGAGATATATTAATTGCTGAATTGGTATTCCAAATCCAAAGGTAAAAGCAAACCTATTTGAGTAACACATAGGACACTTTTTTTTTAGCTCTAATTTTTTTTTTATTTTAGAGCTCTAGAATTGCTCTCTCTTGCCACGTTGGATGTGTGGTTTAATGAGATATTTTTAGCTCTAAGATTCATGAATGCCGATATGGTTGTTTGCCATGAATACCCATGCAGGATATTTTTAGCTCTTCTGGCACATTTTTTGAAACTCTAGAATTGCTCAATTTTGACACATTGGATTGACAAGTCAATCAAATTACTCTATCTTGACACATTGGATTGATATTTGTTACTCCATTTATAATTATTAATTAATTAAAAAATTGGAACAATTCTAATTATATAGGTGCACTGCATTGCTATTCTTAAGGCCTAACCATAATGACACCTTATATTTGTGATTATCATGTGGTTGAATTTTATTGGTGATGATGTAGACAATATTAATTGTTACATTGGTATTCCAAAGTCTAAATAAATAGGCATAAAGATTGGATTACATAGGTGTATTGCATTGTTGTATTAATAATTAATAATAATACTAATTATGTATGTGCATTGCATTGACATTCTAAAGGTCTAACCATAAGGACACCTTGGATTTGTGATTGCCATGTGGTTGAATTTTATTGGTGATAATGTAGACAATATTAATTGCTACATTGGTATTCCAAAGTCTAAATAAATAGACATAAAGATTTTATTACATAGGTGCATTGCATTGGTAGTAAAAGCATACATGTTTATTAATAATTATATAGGTCCATTGTATTGACATTGCAAACAGTTCTTCGTATTCAATTCGTATTTAATCGTGTTGGCATTCGAAATGTCTAAATAAGGGATTATAAAAGGGGCATATGTTCAGTTGTGTATTATCGCAATATGTTAGTTGGTTTTAACAATATGCCTAGTTTTTTGTTAATTGTTTATAGGTCATGTTAGTTTTGTCAATAATACCTCTGTTCTTCATGATTTTATTAATTGATTATTTTTTATTTGTTTATGTTTTTGTTATCGTTTACAGGTCAAAGATTCATAGATTGGCATGGAATAAAGGCAGGATGTCCCATTGACATTGTCAAACGAGTTGTTATTTTGATTCTTATTGTCAAACGAGTTATTATTTTGATTCTTTATTCTGAACTATAAGTATTTCTTCTAACTATTTTAATACGAAATTGTAAGTATATCTTCCAACTATTTTAACGGTTATTATTTGATTGAATGATTGTTTTTGTTCAGTCAATCTATTTGAATGATTAATTGTGTTAGTCTTGCCGAATGATAAGTGTATTCCTTAACAATTTTAATATGAAGATTAATTAACTTTTGTTGATTTCATTTTCAGGTAACAGTTGTTATACGAGTGAATCCTTAACAAATTTTAACATGAAGATTGATTAAATTTTGTTATGTTTGTTTTCAAGGAAATGTTCATGTACTTTACTAAGATCAAATCGAAGATGATCCTATTGTCAGCCGAACTGTGAGTATGTGTCATAACTATATTAGTAGAAACAATTCAATTGTGTTGAATATGTTTTCTGTAAAACCATTCGTGTATTTTAATTTGTTATATGAATGATTTATTGTTTATGTCCTGTTGATGTGCGGGTATATGTGTTAAATGAATTAATTTTGGCTGATTCCGTTTTCCAAGTAATAGGTGTTATTTGAAATATTTTTTATCAGTCCTAATATGATAAACCCTTAAATTTGGGTAAGCAAACCATTCATTTTATCATCACACGCATTTCGGTTTCCACTGAACTATCAATAGTAAATTTATCATAACTTACTCAATAAAAATCCAATTCATGAGAGGATTAAATCTTTAGAAACTAGATAGACAGGACTTTAATTTGATATATCATACGCTTAATTTGGATAACTATAGCCCCACTACCGAACCATTTCTTTCATCATCACACACATTTCGGCTTCCACTGAACAGTTAGTAGTAAATTGACCATAACTTGCTCAATAAAAATCCAATTGAGGAGATGTTTGAATATTTAGAAACTAGATAAATAGAGATTTAATTTGATAAATTATACGCTTAATCTGGATAACTGTAGCCCGACTGTCAAATAATTCATTTTATCATCACACACATTTCAATTTCCACTGAGAATTTGACCATAACTTTCTCAATAAAAATCCA